CTGTGTGCAGGCACCGCATGACGGCGGCCGAGTGCCTGGTGCACCCCTGGATCAAGGTGAGAGGGACAGGCAGGGGGTGGGTGCCGGACCCCTGGAATGCAGGTGGGGGCACAGTGATGGTGCCGTGTCCTCGCCCCCACAGCCCCTGAGCAGGAAGCAGGTGCTGAGCCGGAGTCGTTCCTCCATCAACATGAGAAACTTCCGCAAGTTCAACGCTCGGAGGAAGTGGAAGGTGAAGGGGTTCCCGGCCCTGGGGGTCCCACCACCCCTGAGGCCCCCGGGGAGCTCGGGCTGGGCTGCATCCCAAGGCTGGCTCCCTCTCGGGGGTCTGCAATGTGGAGGTGCAGTGCTGGGGGGAGGGCAGAGCTGGAGAGGGACCCCCACCTTGGACCCCCTTCCCTCCTGCCCCCCAGCTCTCCTACAACATGGTGTCCGCCTGCAACCGGCTGTGCCAGACGCGGCTGCTCTGCAGCCTGAGCAAGGAGGATGAGGAGCTGGTGAGCGCCCAGGAGCCCCTCAGAGCCCACCCAACACGGGCTGGGGAGGGGGAGAAGGGATCTAGGAGGCCTGACCCCCCCCCAGATGGAGGGGGTGCTGTGCAGTGGCTGTGCAAAGGGGGTTATCTCCACCTGGGGTGCCCTCTCCTCTGGGATGGGGGGTTCCCTCCCGAGGGGGAGCCCTGTCCCTGCCCTCCAGCCCCCCCTGTGCCCCCAGCGCTGCTGTGAGAGCGACCAGGAGGAGGAGAGCAGCCCCCCCATCGCGCTGCTGCGCCGGCGGAGAAGCAGCTCCTGAGCCCCCCTGAAAGAAAACAGGAGCCCCCCGGGGACGAGCCTTGGGGGTCCCCTCATCTCCCCAACCCAGGAGGCAGGAGCACTGTCTGGCCCCAGTGCTCCCAGTTGCCCATCGTGTCAGGGGGTCACTGGGACGGCAGCACCCCCCACCTGGCCCCCCGGTGTTGCTGCCCCAGGGCCGGGACCCCCCTCCCTGCTTTGCCTTAGTGAGAAAAATAAATATCGCTCCCTCCTCCATCCTCCTCTCCTGTGTCTCCTTCCCCTCAAGGTTGGGTCGTCACAACCAGCTGGTGCCGAGTGCCCGCAGCTTCCTCCTCCTCCTCCTCCTCACTGCAAGGCTTCTGGGCTGTGGGGACCCTGAGGCCGCGGGGTCCTGGCACCCCCAGATCCACCCTGTGAGGGAGAGTTGTCCCTTCTGTGCTGCTCGGGGGGGGGATGTCTCCATGTGTTCTTGGCTGCTCTCGTGGCATCCCCGCGCCAGAGCACCTTGGATCCTCCTGCTCGGGCTGGGGAAACTGAGGCAGGAGGCAGGAGGCAGCCCTTCCTTCCCGCCCACTCCAGCACGGGGGGCGGGGGGGGCCGCCCTGTTTTCCCCCTCTGTATTTCCCAAACAAGCCCCGGCGCTGGCCCTGGCAGTTGTCAGGCTAAATATTTTGTGTGCGGCAGCCGAAAACAAAAGTGAAGGGGCCGCAGGGTCCGGGCAGGGGCCGTGCCCCCCCGCCATCATCCCGGCGTGCCCCAGGTGCCGCCGGACACGGCGAGTGGGACCCGACGCGGTGCAGCAGCGCCCGAGGTGGGACAGGGACGGGACCCCGGGGGTCCCGCTCGGGGATGGGGCCGAGGGCGCCGGGTGCCCTGCGGCTGGGGGCGATGCTGCTGGTCCTTGGTCCCCTCCCTCTGCCCCCCGTGTGGGCCCCCTCCGAAAGTAAGTGCCTGGGAGGGGGTGGCCGGGAGAGGGGCGGGGGTGAAGCGCTTGCCCGGGGGGACAGTTCTGGGGTGCGGAGGGGGCTGCGTGGTGATACCTGTGCTCGGGGCTTTGCAAGAGCCGAACCCTGCGGCGAAGCTCTTTGGGTGCTCCCTCTGCCTCGGTTTCCCCCCGCTGCTGCAGACCCCCCGTTTTGGGCAGGAGGGGCAGAGTGTGAGACACCCTCCCCCACCCCCCCACTGCTGGGATGGGGTGAGGGAGGAACGTGGTAGGGGGGCTCAGCTGGAGCCGGGGGCGGGGATTGCTCAGCCCCTCTGGGATGGTGGGAAATTGTTGCAGGAATTGAGAGCTGCTGGGGTGGAAAAGGGTGGAGAGGGGTGGCACGGTGAGGAGGGGGCACAGCCACGGCGGGAGATGGCCGGGGACACCAGGAGGGTCTGTCGGTCTGTCCTGCCTTCCCCTGTCCCTGCCGCCCGTGCCTCAGTTTCCCCAAGCACCGAGGGGCTGTGCTGGGGGGGGGGGGGAGCAATGGAGGAGGGGGATGAAGCATCCGAGAGCTTCCCAGAGGACACACCTCGCTGTGCCAGCTCCCACCTGGGATCCCTGTCCCCTCCCTGTCCCCTCAGGGGCACGGGGGACCCCTGTCCCCTCACAGGGTGACTTTGCAAGGTCAGGGAGGTGACGGTGGCAGCGGGGGCTGTAACCCCCAGGGTTGGTGCTATACCCAGGGCCGGTTTTGTGGGAGGATGGAGGACCCTCCTGTCCTGTCTGGGGGGGGACAGGGCTCCCAGCGAGGAGCCAAGCCCTGGTGTGGTGCTGGGGTGAGCAGGCACAGGCAGCTGCCAGAGCCTCAGTGCCCACAGGATCACGGTGCCAGTAGTTAATGGGTGACACTGAGAGGGGAAAAATGCCACCGGGCACAAGGTCACGAGGATACGGCCATGAGCCACCAGCCCAGGCTGGCTGGGCCAGACGAGGGGTGAACCATGGCCTCGACCCCCACCAGTGCTTTTGGGCTGGGGATGCTGCCGGTGGGAAGCTCTCTGCTCATCCTGGCTCTTGCATCCCTGCTGGGACCGGGAAGCAGGGGATGCTGGGCTTGTGCTGCTTTAGTTCTCCTGCTCCCTGCCTGAGCCTGGGTGGAGAAGCCCTGGGACAGCAAATGTGGCCCAGGCTGTGCCACACGGGCACCTGTGGTAGCCTCGTGTGCCCCGTTACCTGCCTGGGCAGCGCTGGGGAGTTAATGGGAACAACCTTTCAGGAGCTCCCACTCACTGGGTAACTGTGGGTCCGTGGCAGGGGGGAGATGCCGTGAGACCCCCACGGCTGTCCCACAACTCAGGGAAGGGGAAAGCCATCTACACCCCCAGCTGGCCTCCCCTGGGGTGGGCAGCGGGGCTGGGACGTGGTCCTGGGGCTGCCACGGGGCAAGGCAGGCGCCAGGGCTGCCAGGCCTCGTTAGCATCCCACTGACGGACGCGTTGTGCCCCCAGGAGCCACAGCGCGCCGGCCGCCTGTCACAGCCACTCGCGTCTCCCCGGCTGCCCAAACCAATTCCAGCCACGTTTGACAGGCAGTGCTGGGATATTAAACTCTGCCGAGCACCCCCCGGGGGATCCCAGGGTGGGGGTGGGGGTCAGCTGCCCCATCCCTGCCACCCATGGGGTCCCCCCTCTCGCCACCCCAGTCTGCGGCAGCATGGACATCCGCAATGACGTCTCCCAGCTCCAGAAGCTGGAGAACTGCTCCATCATCGAGGGCAACCTGCAGATCCTGCTGATGTTCACCACGGGCGCCGAGGACTTCCGGGGGCTCAGCTTCCCTCGCCTGCTCATGATCACCGAGTACCTGCTCCTCTTCCGCGTCTACGGGCTGGAGAGCCTGCGGGACCTCTTCCCCAACCTCTCCGTCATCCGCGGCACCAACCTCTTCTTCAGCTACGCCCTGGTCATCTTCGAGATGCCGCACCTGCGGGACGTGGGGCTGCACAGCCTGGGCCACATCCTGCGCGGCTCCGTCCGCATCGAGCGCAACCAGGAGCTTTGCCACCTCTCCACCATCGACTGGGGGCTGCTGCTGCCCGACGCCGGGGACGGCACCTACATCGTCGGCAACAAGCTGGCCGAGGAGTGCGCTGACGTCTGCCCGGGCATCCTGGACGTGGAGAAGCCGTGTGTGCAGACCAGCGTCAACGGGCAGCTGGATTATCGCTGCTGGACCTCCAGCTACTGCCAGAAAGGTGGGTGCTGGTGGCACAGGGCTCGGCCGCGCCGGCTGCTGGTCTGGGATGGTGATGGTTTGCACTGTGGGGTAAACTGGGAGGGCACTGGGGATGGCTGGTGGAGCTGCAGGCCCTGGCACGTGGTTGTGGCTCCCCCGTGCCGTGCTGTGCCGTGCCGGCAGCGTGGCGGGGTAACCGGATCCGCGCTGTATCATCCTCCGGAGGACAGGCCGGCTCCCGGCTGCCGTGTTTTCCCAGCGGCGAGGTAAATACGGGCCCCTCCTGGGCTCGTTTGCTGTAAACAGGAGACCTGATAATAAAATCTGTACTATAAACACAGATCCTTATCGGGGCTGCAGCCTCGGCTGTGGCCCTGGCCCCGGATGCTCCGGGCAGCTGGGGCTCAGCACAGGCTGAGCCTCCCCTCGTCCACCCATCTGTCCTGCTGTCCCTCCGTCCAGCCCCTCATCCGCCCATCCCAGCGGGTCACTCAACCACCCATCAACCCACCTGCCTGGCCGGCCACCCGCTGCTTGGCCATCCATCCATTTCTCCATCCATTCCTGCATCCCTCCATCTCTGCATCCATCCCTACGTCCTTCCATCCCTCCTTTGTCCCACCATCAATGCATTCTTCCCTACCTCCCTCCTTTCAGCCCTCCATTTCTGCATCCCACAATCTCTGCATCACTTCATCCCTCCATCCCTCCATCCATCCCAACACACCTCTTCCCTCCCTCCCTCCCCTCTTCCCTCCGTTCACCCCACCATCCCTCCTTCATGCCACCATCAGTGCATTCCTCCCTTCCTTTCTCCCTCCCTCCCCTCTTCCCTCCATCCATCCCACCATCTCCGCATCCCTCCATCTCGACATCCCTTCATCCCTCCATCCATCCCCACACTCCTCTTCCCTCCCTTCATCCCACCATCCGTTCCCCCATCCCCACATCTCTCCATCTCTCCATCTCACCCTGCCTCCCATTGCCCCCCAGACCCGGAGGGAATCACCAACCCCCCCAACCCTTCCCACTTCTTCCCTCTCCCCCAACCCATTCCCAGCCATGCTGGGGTCCGTGCCCGGGGGTCTCCCCTGCCCACGGCGCTGTCTCCCCTCGCAGTGTGCCCGTGTGGCGCGGGCTCGGCGTGCACGGCGGCGGGCGAGTGCTGCCACGCCGAGTGCCTGGGGGGCTGCGGACGCCCCCGCGACAGCCGGGCCTGCGTCGCCTGCCGCCACTTCCACTTCAACGGGCACTGCCTGCCCTCGTGCCCGCCCCGCACCTACGAGTACGAGGGCTGGCGCTGCGTCACCGCCGAGTACTGCGCCAGCCTCCGCAAGGTCTCCGACAACCCCCGCGACGCCTCCAAGTTCGTCATCCACCAGCGGCAGTGCCTCTCCGAGTGTCCCTCGGGATACACCAGGAATGAGAGCAGGTGTGGGGGGGTTCCCGGTGGCCCCCCGGCACGGGCACGGTGGTGGCACAATGCCCAGCTCACGTCCCATCCCTGTCGTCCTGCCCGCAGCATCTTCTGCCACAAGTGTGAGGGCCTGTGTCCCAAGGAGTGCAAGGTGGGCACCAAGACCATCGACTCGACGCGGGCGGCGCAGGAGCTGGTGGGCTGCACCCTCATTGAGGGGAACCTCATCCTCAACATCCGCCGGGGCTGTGAGTGCCACGTCTGGCCCCCACAACCTGCCCCGGGTGGGAGAACAGCTATGGGGGTGGGGGGCAAAGGCAGGGGGTCTTTTCCCTTGCAGAGTGAATTAATGGGGGGGTGTCCCCCTCCTTGAGCTCACGCCGTGGGTTGTCCCCAGATAACCTGGCCTCGGAGCTGCAGAGCAGCCTGGGGCTCATCGAGACCATCACGGGCTTCCTGAAGATCAAGCACTCCTTTGCCCTCGTCTCCTTGTCCTTCTTCAAGAACCTCAAGCTGATCCGTGGTGACTCCATGGTGGACGGGTGAGGACAGGGCATGTCTGGGAGGGACGTATGGCTCTGGGGGTGCCCGTG